AATACGGGATCCCGAGTCTGATAGCAGTGGAGGGCGCGTGTCGTGCCTTCAGGACCGGCGATATCTGTCTATTGGACACTAAGACACAGACCATCACTAAAGTCGAGTGAATTTATTATAGGATTAGTTTAATTGTAAATTGAAAAAATGCATATTTGTAATAAATGTATAATTGAATTATTTAGTTATAAGTTATAATAATTATAAATAATAATTTACCATATCGTATTTGTAAACAATGTTTTGAATAATACTGTATATAATATTTACAATAAACGCATTGATAAAAACTTAATATATTTATTATCTAAATTTAAACAGTAATTTATTTTAATTTCAAATGTGTATTGAAGGTTATGATCATTAACCATAATTAGATTCATTGCTTGGCACAGAATTTATAATTATCTTTATTTTATAAAAACAATGATTTTATTAATAAGTAATTACAGTAAAATTATATCAAATAAACACTAGTTTATTATTAAACAGATAATAAAATAGATTTCAAATATATAAAATAATTTCTATGATTTGTTAGCATTTTTACTCTATTTTAGTGATGGTCTGTGTCTTAGTGTCCAATAGACAGATATCGCCGGTCCTGAAGGCACGACACGCGCCCTCCACTGCTATCAGACTCGGGATCCCGTATTCGCGGGCAATGACTGCCCCGTGAGATATCGTTCCACCGATTTCTGTGATTATACCCGAAAGTAATGGGAAGTATGGACTCCAACCGATGTCCGTCGAGTACGTGATCAGNCGATTTCTGTGATTATACCCGAAAGTAATGGGAAGTATGGACTCCAACCGATGTCCGTCGAGTACGTGATCAGAATATCTCCCGGCTATTCAGCACAGCAGACATTATAACACATTTAATAATTTATATTAATTATAATAATGATTACCTGAATATTATCGGCTTCTGTAATGTCTTCAGACACACAAACCCTCGCTTTAACGGATCCGTTACTAACAGGCGTTCCCTTCATTTGAACCATACCTGAGCTCAAAACTGGAGGTATAATTTGGTCCTCAAACTATTAACACAAATAAAATATAATTAAAATCAAAATAATCACAAATTAATCGTACATTTCTGGGTTTCATTTCGGGTCCTTTAATAAACTCTTCGAACTTGTATTTATCCATTTTAGGGTAAAGTCTTCGCCGTTGTCTAACTCTCGTGAGTATCAGTGGATCCCTATCTCCACTACAGAGAGCCTCGACTTCATTGACAGTGAGATAGAAGAAACACTCGGCGGATGGGATCAGACCTTCTCTAACCATTTGTTTTGACAATAGTCTAAAACATTGTCGGAATCTATTGTTGACCCAAATTATGAAATACTTTGATAGCTCTCTATATCCGACTCCACGTCTACTCCACGGAAGTAATACTTTTCGTATCAATAATTTCTTAATGAATGAAAGCGGAGTCTTGAGCACTTCCATCACTTGATCCACAGATTTGGACACTTTTGGCTCCAATTGTGATTCATTTCCCGATAATAAACCCTAAATGAGTTTCAATAGAATATTATTATTTAATTACAGTAATATTACTTAATGTAATTTAATAAATAAATAATTTTAAATATTTTTACTTTAATAGTTTTGACACAAGGAATCGGATCTTCTTTCCACGTGTGATACATGGGATCGAATTCTCGATACCCTCTGTGTCCGTGTCTATCGAGAAAGTATCTAAACTTATGTGAGGACTCATCGCTTCCAGTTTGCAGTACTTGAAGCGCTTCCTCATCACTCAATTGTCGGAACCATTGCTTATCTTTAATAGACTTTGCGATTTCACGCAAACTGTTGGGCACTTCAGCGCTGATCACGTCATTACACGACGATACCATTAAATTATAATCTGAATCCATATCTGGATTATTAGCTAAAAAATTTAAAACATATTATAATAGCTATACTTTTGCTGAAATTTCCAGATAATACTCACGTAAAGCGCTCTCCAAAACAAACTTCAAAACCATATTCTTAAGCGTTGCGCTCATAGAGACGGGTCCGTGAAATCGGGTGTCTTTCGAGATATCAAAGAATTTGTCGGATAAAGCTTTCCAAATGTCGTTCGCAGTGGACAGGCGTTGCAATTCATGAACAACACTGTCTTTCTTATTGTCCATCATTTGTGTCTTTAATTGAATGAGTTTTGTTGGACTAAAGAGTACGGAATCGATGGCCATAAACACCATTTTGAGTTTCCCATAAAGCGATGACTTTTTCTTCGCCAATCGTTTCTGTTTAAATAACTGGAGGACATCCTTGTCGTCGATGTGATGGCCAAACATTGATAATACCATTTCTAGGGACCCTTTGGTCGTCGGGTAGTCATAAAAAAAGTCAAAACCGCCCTAAATATGACCCAAAATATGACAATTAATAAAAATTTAATTATTAAGATCTATATGCAAAACGTACACTGGTCAAATTGAACATCAATTGATTGTATTCAACGCCCATTATTTCAAAATATGGATTATAATCTTCTTCCTCGATTATTCCTTGTTGTATATCTTGACGCTATAATTGTTAATAATAACTTAATTTGTTGTTTGGCTTAGTGTCGGTAAATTGGACAATTTTCATTCACGCTCACTCACGTTCACGACAAAAATTTTCACGCTCACTCACACTCACGGGGAAAAATTCAATCGTGAATCACACTCACTCACGGTGTCTGTAAA